GCCCTAGAGATAGACAACCCGAAAAAAATATCAGCGATGATATCCCATAATTTCTGATATACTTTTGATATACTTGTATATATGTACAAAAGGATCAGAAAATCACCTATGTACACTTAACAAACGCAACGAATTAGCAAGTCTGTGCCCTCATCGTAGTAGATACACACTTAAGAAATTTAGACCATAATGTCACGCAATTGTAATTTAAAACGTATAGATTTTGAAATATACATTTATACAAATACCTAATTTATTCAGTATATTTAATGATATGCAAAACAGAAAACTCGCTTTATTTATTATTTGTTTCATTCAATGAACGTCAAAATATTTTATTCTTGTGTTTTACATCCTACAGATTATAAATCAATTGCTTTTGAGGGTTAAAAAAGTAAAATTGCAATATGCATCTCATTAGGTATTTGTATAATTGTAAATATGTATACTACAACGTTTCTGCAATCGAGTATATATATATACATCTACTTGCAAGAACGTTGACATACGAAAATAGAACATTAGTAATTTAGTGAGAAAGGAATACATTAAAAGACAAAAGAAAAAGTTCAGCTTCAGTGATCTTCTTTTGTTTTTTAATATAATTCCTATTCCACTAAATCACTAATGTTCTATTTTCGTATGTCAATGTTCTTGCAAGTTGGTGTATATACACAGCCATATGCAGAAATTCTGATCCATCAAGTATATAGTATATAACTATTTTGGGTGCATTATGGGTAACAGTACCGCTGGATTCAAAGCTAAGTACCAAAGCGTTGGCTGGCCTACCGAGTGTTGTTTATGAACAGCGCTAAAGTCAAGAGGCGGGAACTATGTGTTCACTTTTTAATACCTCTACACTATTAGAAAAAAATACCATATTGTAAACGGTTTTATTGATATAAAGTGGAACATTGGAAGTTTTGCAATTGGTTGAGTTTTTAAAATCAGTTCTGAAATCGCTCTTCTTGGAAGTTTCGGTTGAGATGAGCTCAATTCTGAACTCGTTTTTCGCTTATTTATATGTGCCCTTCTAAAACAATCAATCACTCCGAGGACAGCTAAACCAAAACAGTCGGTAACATGACTTATGACAAAAGTGGTACAAAAATTGTTCATGAGCTACTCTGGATAGGATATTTTGCTTTATTCGTAGTCTACCGTGTTATTGTTATTGAGCATCAACTCAGTCAAATCTCAGTTGGTGAACATACTGAATATAATTTCTAGATAAACAGAGATTATTCTTACTTAAGAGAAGCATATTCTTCCACTTCTTCTGATAACTTAGCGATTCTTTGTGGTTACTTTTTCTTTTATTTCTCTCTCTCTCTCTCTTTTGGCTCAAGCTATTAAAAGCTTTGCAATTTTATGCAAAACAAGTTCACTCACAAGAGCGAAAGTTTGAAAATTAATCATCATTGCACTAAAGCCGTTTGTATTAATCAAAATTGCATAAAATAAACAGCGGTTTATATTGAAAATAACGCCGACTGTCGAGTCCTAAGCAGGTTGAAAGTTCTTTTTTTGGTTGGAAAAAGCGGAGTTGTTTTGAAAGTTAACTTATTTTAAACAAAACGCCAGCCAATGATTTAGTACTTTTAATCCCGCTTTGAATCCCGCGAGTCTATTACCCATAATACACCCGATATAGTTATATACTATATACTAGCTTGGATCAGAATTTCTGCATATGGCTGTATATATATATGTATATATATATTCTTGAATCAATGACAACAAACACCATGTGAGGTTCCAAAAAATGACAAAACGTCGTCTTTGCATTCTACGAGGTCATAACTGCGAACTATATTATTATAATATAATAATACAACTTATGATGCGAGGCGGCCTTGACAGTTGGCCTGTTCAACCGGTTTGGAACAAGTATTTTTATTTACGGAAACATTATGAGCATGCGTATCATGGGGGAACAACCTGATACTTGGCAGGCATTATTAGAAATATGCTTAGCGAGCATTTATTAACTAACGCAACTATATCACCAGTTCTTCCCCTCTAATCGTCGCTGAAAGGCTGTATATACTCAGAGGTAAGCAAATAGCTAAACGGCTAAACTTCGTGATACATATTGCTTTTTTTGAAATTGTAACAGATTAAAACTGTTAAAAGAAGTTTCTTAATCCATGTAATGCAAAAAAAAAAAAACACTTTCTTCTTCAATTTCCGAATGCGGAATACGGCTTACCATTTCATGCCAACCCTTCCCAAATGCCGTTCCTTCGTCTTTTCTAGATCTCTGGTTCTTCCTAATGCCAGTTGGTAGGTGATAGTAACAGTGTGAATAGTTCATAGACAGAATAAGAAATATAACGTTTCTTCTTCTTCCCGCAAACGGCAGGCATGACCAGTTTTCATTGTTTTCCTACGTTTCACTTTGCCCCTTGCAAATCTTGTTGGCAAACACGAGAATTCTTTAGTTTATCTGCTATTTGGAATTTTTTAATATTCTTTTTCACTAATTCTGAAGAATATTTTGCTTTTCAAATGATGTTTTATGCTTGCCTTAAACGAGATGCTAAACTGTCTATTAACTTAGTCGATGTAAAATCTTTTTTGGTCATGACCATTGATCGCAGAATGAACCACTTAATGTTATAATAATAATTATCACATACAGGGCAAAATTACTCGATGCTGATTGGTTAATGAAGTAGGGCTTTTTTTCCTAATAATCCGATGATGAATCTTTTTTAAACTTCGAAATCAAAGTTGATTGAAATACCTGAAGAGCCTTAAATAATAATCTCAATAGGTGGGCGTACGATGGTGCAATTTGTTTTGATCAAGAAC